ACCACATCCCACATTATATTGACAGTAATTTTACATTTTATTAAAAACATTGTAGTTTTGACAGTGCAGTGTACACCAACTGAGAACTGGTTCTGCAGTTCAAAATATTGTGGGTCAGTTGTCAATTCATGATTAAGGAATAGCTTTAATTGACACATTATTAAAAAATTTGGCTTTACATAATCTTTTGTATGAACCCATAAAGTTCTGATCATGTTGCTAATAATTTATAATTATGTGATGTCTTATCAAGTGATGCTTAAATCCTTCAATAAATTATTTATAGATGCTAAATTGTTGCATGTCTACACCCATGTTTTATTCATCTTCGTATAAATGATTAGTTTGCACATTCTCCAAACATCTGTTATTTGCAGCCACCAACCAGTAAGTTGCATTAAGTGTTTCAGTTAAGCATTGCTAACACTTTCTGAATTGTGTGTTTAAGAAAGGTGACAGTTTGTTTAAATCCACCGTATTTGACAAGAGACATTACTCACATGACAAAGAAGCAAATGGAAAAAGGTCAAATCAACCAGTTTCTTGGGGGGGAAATGTAACCAAAAGCATACTTTTGACATGGTCTGAGGCTTTGTGCAGCTTGGATTAAAAAAAAAAAAAAAAAACAAAAGAGGAAAAAAAGTAAGGATCATTTTGAGAATGTAACGTTTCAGAAGATGTTTTTAAAATTGCAGGAAATATCTAGGTGGAAATTGAGTTCTGGGTGACCTGAAGGAATGAGTGCAAGGTTGTGTGCGACGCTGGTTGTTGCCCAAAAATGTAAAAGTGACTTTAAATGTTCTCTGTGGCTTTTAGATATAACTTTTACTCCTTCACTTGGGAGTGAAACTTCACATATCTAGAAAGATTGTTGTCCTGCCTTTGGTACCCTAACCCTAATCAGGCGCACTTAAACCACTGCCCCCGCCATGTCAGAGGTTATTATTATACATTGGGAAATGATCTAACATTGCTTTAAAGAGAGTGGGATGGAAGTCAGTTTATACTGTGTTGTCAGGTTTGTTGTGTTATTTGTTTTGGTTGACTTGTTTACAATTTCCCTCAGATAATGATCAGCGTCCTGAAGACATAGCTGAGCTCATATTAGAGAAAAGCCCTCTGGAGAAACATTGTTCATGGGGCAATCTTTTGTATTAATATTTATCTGTTGCAAAGTGATTAGCGACATGCTCAGTGATCTGACTACTCCTAGATTTTAGACTTGTTTCTTTCCTTTTTAGATGCTCTGATAACACATTTTTACAGTGGGACAAATGATCAATATATCGGGTACAGTGTTTCCATCAGGATATAGGATAGCGGGGAAAGAATAAAGTGGCACAAAATGGAAATACTCATGTAAATACTGAAGTAAGTGTACTTTGTTACTTTCCATCTCTAGTAATGACTCTGGAATTGCAAGATTAAGCACACCATGTTTATCTTTGCTGACATATTGCACAAAATTTAACCTGTCGACCTGGCATGTAAATTAACTTGATTTTCTCTGAAACGGATATGTAATTGTATGGTCATGTTGAGGTGGTGTGTAGCCTGTATAATAGTATAGAATAGACATTGCATTTGTCAACAGTAGTTATATAATGTTGATGTAGTCTTTACATGAGTGACTTGTTAGATAGGATAGTTGCTGGAGTTGATTTTAAATGTTCATTGGGTGTTACTGTAACAGTGTTCATTTGCTGGTGTGATGTTGGAGGAAAGAACCTGCAGAGGAGGGAAACACCAGTGTGTAGGGATCAATCTGGTGTGATGGACAGAGACCCAAAGTCACTAAAGACTGCTGAACTTAAACATATCCTAACAATAACAACAGAACCAGTCATCATTGATCAAAATTATATTTTTCATAAGAGGTTTAGATGGACATACAACAAATGTTTGAATGTTCTGAAATATTTGTTTTCCTTTGCTTGGTTTAATGGGTCTGTGCTATAAAATTTTTTAAAGTATGGTTTAGACATTATAACACTTAATTGAAGCAATACTTGCAGCAACTCTGGCATAAAATGTCATGGCATTTTGTTATAGTAATTCAGCTTTTACAATACCAGGGTTTGGTGCTTGATGAGGATAGAAACAAACATTTTCTTCACAACCCCATCTTGCTAAAATGAAAATGTAAGCTGGAAGTCATTAGGAGCACAGTTCATCATTTGGTTGGGATGAGAGGAACACATCTAGAAAGAGTCCCAGCCTTTTAGTGGTTGAAATGGGAATTTTTTTCCCCCTCCCTCTTTGTGAGTTAGTTCTGCAGTGTCAGCAGCCAGCACACAAAAACGGAATTCAGTAAAAGCTCCCCCTGCTCTCTGGGAGTTTTTTTCCCCCAACAGCTTGCTCCCATCCCCCCCTTTCCCCCTCATGAACTGACATGCTGGAAGAAACATATGCTACTATTCCCACTTCCTGACAGCTTGTGCTGCTTGAATAGGATCTTGCTCAGGGAGGAAGCAGTTGTCTGGAAAGAGGGGAGAGATTAAGAAATGAGAGAAACCTCAGTGAGTTGTTAGTGAAGGAAGTAAAACATAAAAGGTATTTATTAATCGGGAGTTTAGGGTAAAGACCAGTAACAATTTGATAGTTGACAAACTCTGAGATTTATATCTGGTTGGGTCTTTGGTCTTCAGCTAGACTAAATAAAAAGTCACACTCAACATATAGTAGACATGCTACATGAATGTTGGGGACTGATTGCACGTAAGTAAAACAGAGGATAGTGTCGCTTCATTTTACACCGTATGTGTGGTGTGGTCACCTGACACATTGTCCTCCATCAGTGTGTACACTGGATACGTTCAGCCACAATACTGGCATGCACTTAGAAACATTTGACAAAGCTCACAATATTCAATAATGTACTTACTGTGTTTAGCTGAAAAAAACAGACATGAAACCTGAAATAACACTTCAGGTCGCACAGTGTGAGTGAATCAGGAGCAGTTACAGTATAGACAGCTGCATCAGACGATGAAATATGTAGCTATACAGCCTGTCAGAGAATTTCCTTTTTAGTGAGGAAAGTGATGTGTTATCCACTTGTTGCTTTGCCTATTCCCTCTGGGAACTGGCCAGAGAACCCGCCTTTCAGAAGATGTGCCTTTATTGTGTTCTTCATGCTTTTGTGTTCATTTGCAGTACCTGGGAGCACGCTTTTTGTTTTTTGTTAAACATTCAGTCCCCTGCATACCTTATTTACCTGTAATTAAGTTTTGTCTTATATACTTTGAGTTGACCAGTTTGCTTGAACTGTGTCCTTTTCAAGGGGTTAACCTGCTCATCAGCATTTGCAAGATAACCCATTTGACAAACGGATGAGGAACCACAATGCACATACACAATTAACTATAAATGGCCAGCAGACATGCAAATGTTTCTGTTTGTTTCTGTGGTTTTTGGGCTTCATCTACCTCTTAAGCCAGCACACCTCTGCCATACATATTGTAAAAGTATAAACTCAACCTCTACATGATGAATGATCTATGTTCACACTGCACTTTCTTTTGTAATTTAACCATTTATAAACTCAAAGACTGGATATTGAAGTTCTGGGTCGGACTGTGTGGCTGCTAATGCCACTATGTGCATTATGCTTTCTGTTCACAAAGGCCACACAGTGTACACTGACTGAAAATCTGCTGAATCTCATTTTACCACATACATGCTTCGCTGGTGCCAGTATAATGCCATGATTAGTCACATCTGCACATTCATTAAGATGTAGTGTGCAATAGTCATTTCCCTTAATATGTGGCAGAGTCTGCTGTTTTTTATGTTACTGGACATGGCAACGCATTCTGCTGCAGATGCCGTCACTGCATAATGATGCAGTCCTCAGCTGCAGATTCAACCGGGAGCTTTTTGCTCTTGTCAATAGCCGATGTGAGATGAGACTTTCTCCAGCTGTGTGAGGGGGGGCTGGTTCCTGGATTGTGCCGTCTGTAAATGGTAGTTGTCTTGTGATGCCTGCAGGTATCCAGCCTCTTTTTTCCCCTATAAAAAAACTTCAGTGGCTTCTGTTTGGCTTGAGTGTCTGCTTTCTATATGCCATCATGTTGATGTGTTGACCGTGGCTGATGGGTGTTCTACAGTGTGCCCACAATGCTGTTGTTTTTTTCTTTGTTTTTTGTAAATTGTGTTATTGCAGCACACACTTGCTAAACATGAACCTAGCTTAAGAATCACACACATTGACACCTGCCAATTTCAACCACCATCTTACCAGTTGGCTATTGAAGACTTTGGGACTCTAAGTGCGTTTGCCCAAGGGCAACTCGGTAGCGGTGGTAATGAGAGGGAGAGAGTGTCAAATGCTGCTCTCTTATCCATCCAGAGTTATCGTTTCAGAATCAAATCAGCTTTTGTGTGACAATTCTGATGGAGTACTTGTTACTGCTTGTAAAAAAATATAGAAAGCTAAAGGCTACTACAGGTGATGAATGAGGTTAGAAAATGAATTTCAAAATATAACTCTTGAGCCAGAGTAGGCCATCTACAAATCTTACATAAACCTGGACCACCTAGTTACTGATCTGAACTGTATCATGTCTTTCAGGCATGGGGTACATTTCCCATCATAGTCTAAAGCATTTATCTGACCTCTAAACCAGTTTTAAATGTAACCCTGTTCTGCCAAGGAAGTCCATGAGAGAAAATCTTCAATTGTTTAAACCATCTTAAAACATCCATTGTAAATCAAGTCAACAACATTCTTGGCGATGTTCAAGTTTGTTTGGCAGCTTTTGCTCCATATTGTGCTCTCAGCACTCAACACTGTGTACTGTGTTGTTTGTTTGGAAGCAGATGTCCGCTGTTCTGTCATGGAGGGTGACCGTTTGGTTGTGTTTGTTTATTTGGGAATTCCAGGTCTCTCCCTAGTCTGCTCCAGGCTTCAGCTTGGAGAACCCAACCGCCACGATTGATCCCAGCAGCTGGAGCGGCAGCGAGAGCCCTGCCGAGGACATGGAGAGGATGAGCGACTCGGCAGACAAGCCCATGGACAATGATGCCGAGGGGGTGTGGAGCCCTGATATTGAACAGAGCTTCCAGGAGGCCCTGGCCATTTATCCTCCCTGTGGACGCAGGAAGATCATCCTCTCTGATGAGGGAAAGATGTATGGTGAGTACAGATGTGTGTAAGTTTGAGTTTTAACCCAAGTGTTATCTGTGCAGTTGAACGTTTTTCTAATAAGTGAGAATTGAAAGAGCTTAAATGAAGAGTTTGACATTGTGGACAATAAGTGCTTTCTTGCCTAGAGCTATACGAGAATGCCGATACAACTCTCATGCCTGTCCTTAAATACACATGAGAGTTGTGTATTTAATCCATCCTACTGAGGAAATCGTGGCAAGGGCCAGCAGCCTGTTAGTTTAGCTTAGCATAAAGACTGGAAGCAGCGGGGAAATGGCTAGCCTGGCTCTGTCCAAAGGTAATAAAATCTGCCTACCAGCACATCTAAAAGCCTACAAATGCACATGTTTATGTCTCATTGTTACAAAAAAATAAAGTGTAAAAATCAATGAAAGTTGGTGTACAGGGGTGTGAGACTTCCTTGGAAAATAAAGGTAAAATAAAAAATTGTATTGCTGTTGTATAGAAATAAAGCGTCTCACAGTGCCCCACAACCATATTTTTATTTAGGTGTTTATATGATTCGCTTCTGGCTGCAATTTCATATTTTAAATGTAATATTTAAATTGTGGCAAATAAAATCAATAAGCGTGTTTTCCCGAAATGTCAAAATATTTGTTTTTAAAAAGGCAAACAATGCATCAATCCATAGCTGTGCCGAGTAATGTAAGATTATAAGACTGTCGGTCTCAAATGTATCAGTGATGTGCTCTGTGATGGTGACCATACAGCCGCTACTCTGATTCACAGAAGTGCAAGTTTATAAGTAAAGCAGCATGAACTATTAGTCAGTAGCAGATGGTACTGCGGCTGCCACCAGCTGTGCCCCCTCTCCTCCCACCGTTTCCCCCATTCCTGGCTGGGTGATGTCATGGAAAGAGGGAATATTTTCTCTCTGTTGTGCTGGGCCGTCTCACAGCCTGTCAGTGTCAAGTGAAAGCAGAAAGCCCCTCAGAGCATTCGCTTGCAGCTGTCATGTGACCCCTCCGGCCAAACAAAATGTAAATTCTAGGAGTTGCAGTGAAACCCCCTCAGCTGCCACTACAAAGATGTGGGCTCAGACAACAGGACCCTCCCCACTGTCTCTTCCTCCAATTCCCTCATCCCCATACAGAGGGAGGCTGCCAGAGAAACTGTCCCTCTGCGGTGGATTAAAGCATGACAATTTAGTTTTTCTAGAGTTATAAATGAGCAGTGCTAAGTGCGGGCCTTACTGTTACCCAATGGACATCCTCACTATGATGCAAATGTTCAGCTTTCTGGTTGACTGTGACATAAAAAACGTTAAATATTTATTTTACATAATACTTTCTTTTTGACAAGTTATGGAGCAAGTAGAAATTCAGCGTGACTCGTACTTGTTGATTTACATTTACATACCAAATTGCAAGACCTTTAAATGTAGATTGTAGGTGTTTCTGTTTAAAAGCTTTCAGTCACATTAGATAAACAGAGAAGAATTGTTGTGACTGGCATATATTTAAGACAACCCATCTACCTTGTGACAATGGCTCTCTGGACACTTAAGAGAGATTCAAAACCCCAATAACAAAGCCAAAGAAAGTTTTTTGTTTTGAATCTACTTTCAAATCTGCTGAAGAGACAACTGTAGCGTTGAATAGAGTTTCGTCCTGCCAGATGTGCGCTGTATCTGATTACAAACTGTCTCACCAGTAGCTGAATACTGGGCTGCCTTTCTTACCATTACTGAGTTGTGACACAATAGTACAATTATTTTCTCATATCTCTGTGTCCAAACTGAAAAGATACCATCAGGAAACCTAATGCATGGTTCCATGTACTGCTGACTGCCTGTGTTCAGCTGTAGAAAGACAGGGGAGGTAACTTTTTACTATGGTCCAGTTTTATTTTATTTTTTAGATTAAAGGTAGAATTATGGATGCAGTCCTTTTTCTTAACTTAACAGACTTTGTTTTGTGACAGAAGACAGATTGGTATCAGTCTGATGTGTGAGTGCAACTGTTGCTGCATCCCAGTGCCAATCCCATCATGCCATGAACTGTGACAAAGCTAGGAAGACATTAAAGGTGCCATGAGTCCTTCTTGAAGAAAGAAAGCATTCATTTTGAATAGATTGTCGGTTTATTATTTGAACAGAACATACAATTATCTCAGGAACAATAAAATACATTTTGGGTGTTGGTGTCGCTTATTACGGCATGTGTATGTACACACAGTCACACATGTAAATAGCAGGGCACTTTGTCATTTTACCATTTCGACAGTGCTGATGCATACATTCACTGGTTAGAAATGTTTTGTAGCCATATACGTATCTTGAGGATCTTTGGAGGAATGCTTGGCATGTGACTGGATTACATACATATGTTGTTATACAACAATACAAATGGTTTTCCTTCAAGTACCTCCATGAAAGGTTTGCACCATTCTCACTGCTGCACGTGATTGAGTAAATGTGTGAAAATATTGTAATGGTAAAAATCAGTAAGAGAAATTTGCGTTTTCTGGCTCAGTGTGGTAGATTTAAGTATACTGCTTTATCTGACCCACCACGTCTGCCAGGTGAACCAATACAAATCTCACACCTGTGCACACACTGTGGGTGCGGGAGATGTATTGTTGTAAGAAATATAAAAAACGGTAAAATGTACAAAGGCAGCTTTACAATTTAGAGAACTCAACTGTAAAAATATTTAATGAAATCTAAACCCTGGCTGCATGCCCCCTATAAAAACAAAGATGTTCTCTTTGCCAAGTGAATGCATATTCTTTGTAGAATGCCTCAGGTTTCCATTTGTGCAGTGCCCCTTGCTAACAGTGCACTTCTTTGGAATACCGTCAGAGATGATAAGTAACCAATGAAGTGTTCCTCCGTGTTGCTGCAAGGGATAAATTTATCTAAAACATCCAGTGATTTGTCTTTTTAAAAGTGAAAGGGTTCAGCTAAACATGGTGAGGCTGATATGGCCCTGTAATCCTGGTCCATAGGGTTCAAAACAGACACTGACGGACATCACACAAAACCCCTCATGGCATCTGAGATGAAAATTTGTTACAAAGAGACAGGTATTTTGTAGAGACCCTGGGGATGGCAGTGTTCAATACACAAAGCTCATCACAAGAGGAGCCGCCCTGAGTGCCCTTAAGCCCTTTTGTTATCCCGGGGTAGAGTGCAGTTAATTAGCAACAGTCTCTATAGCAACTGTGTTGCGGTACAAAACAATTTCTAATTTCAGCTTCTTAGCTTATTGTGGTGTTTACCTGAAGTGTTTCGGATGTGCTGAGACCAGTTTTGGCTGGTGCTGTGCCCATTCTCTGAGGCAATGGAAGACACCCCATCTGCATAGACTGCATCACCCGGCACTTGCTGTGGCCCCAGAGTTTTCTTAGGAGAATATTTTAAAAAGTAAAAGGAAATAGAGGGCACTGGCCCCTAGCCAAAGGCCTACGACTCTGCACTTGCATAATTCACCTGCTGTGCAAAGCTGCATTCATTTATCCTAGAAATAGACTTGATAAATGAAACAACACGCTTCACTCAAATTGTATGTTTATTCATTGAGTTATGTATTTGCACTTGCCCCGCAAGCTAAATGACATTGAATTTTTCTCAGTTACTGTTGGGGGGGCTGATTTTTATTCCTTCGACTCACAAAGAAATATGTAAATACGTACTCTACTTGTAGGCTATACCACACCCATATAGTGTTTTTCTTGTTTTTGCTGCTGAAGAGGAGAAGCTACCAGTTATATTTGAAAGTCTTCTCAAACACTTATTATGGGGACATATTTGCCTTTCAGTAAATTTCTCTGGTCTAATTATCTCTGGTTCTAACAAACAGTAGCAGCAATCATTATATTAATTGCACGCATTCATTCTAAAAATAAGAAATGCCGTTACCAAATAAGTGACATACGTTGTAATATTCACCTTTAAGGTGGACTGCTGGACACGATGCCTCTGTCCGCACGTGTCTTTTGATGTAAAGCTTTTCCCATTACCACTCCACTGTTTGCTCTGCCATCTCGTCAGTGATGCAGCCCAGACCCCTCCTGTGGGAACTAAGTGGCACTTGGTTTGCAGAGATGCCAAGGATGAGTTAGATATAATGAGCAGACCTGGCTTGCCCCCTATGGCCCAGCACTGTGCTCCTCTGGGGCTCGTCTCACCGGGCCGAGCATGCTCTGAGACAGAGTGAGCGGACCTGATCCTCCCTGCTGGGCGGATAATGAGGAATTCTGGGATCAGCTCAGGCTCCGCCAGTCACCTACATTCACTCAGAATGGAGTGTGAGGAACGTCATTGCAAGAGAGGCATCACACACCTCCAGAATAATCCCTCATTTGTCCCCCTGCCATTGTCAGTGTAAGACTACCGTGTTTTTACACATGCGGTAGTGAAAAAAGTCAAATTATTTTAGGTCTTCCTCAAATGGAGTAACTGTCGAATGTGTAAATAGCATTGATGCACGTATGATGAGAGAAGGAAAAAATCATTTTGAATTACGATTCAAGATTTTAGAGTTGCGTTGTGACAAACTGGTTATTTATTCATCATGGGTCGCTATGGAGATGTCTTCTACTTCTTTCAGCCTGACACATGTGCCTCTGGTTGATGCGAATGGGTTAACAAGCACCAATCAACCTGGTTTTGTGACTTCTGCCGAACAGGGTGGAGCACATATCAGACACTGCTCTACTCAACAGGTGTTTCTATTGCGGGTAGGAATTTTGGTTAATGTTATTTATGTTAACACAATATTTATGTATTAAGAAGAGACCGACAAAGAGACTGTCCGCGAGAGAGCCTGTGAGATAGAAACTGCAACTCAAGTAAATTTTTTTCTGATTTTATGTCATGTAATTCTGCCATTTAGCAGCAATATGTATGGAAACTACATTCACAGACTTTTAGAGATCAACCAGTGACAGCGGTCTCATATGAATCGTCCACATCAATTTGAGGTCATGTTCACTAGAGCGTATCATACATGAAGCATGAAAAG